AAAATAAATAAAATTCTTATGTTAATACGGTGTTCATCATACACCCTGCCCCGAACGGAACCCAATGAACAGGAAAGAATGAATTAATATATATTATGTGTCACAGAACGGTAATCTACGCGTGAGTGGTGCGGGGAAGTGTATTCTTTAATATGAGTCTGTGAGCGTGTGTGTGTGTGTGTGTGTGAAAGTGTGTGTGTGTGTGTGTGTGTGCGTGTGTGTGTCCGTGCGTGCGTGTGTGCGTATGTGTGTCCGTGTGTGTGTGCCCATGTCCGTGTCCGGACGTGCAAGCGTGTGCGCACATGAATACTACAGGCACGAACCACACACTGCACACTGGAGATGGCCCAGGAAACACATCGCAAGCGTAATATCTTGGAATCGCAACACTCACAACACGCCTGTGGGCGTGCTCACCTCAGAACCTCGATGTTTTTGTTGTTTCTCCTGTCGAATGCAATTGCCAAGCTTTGTGTGCCTTTGGCTCCCAATGTCGTTCCGACCAGCCTGCAAAATAGGCGTTTGGTGCAACCAGTCAGTTCTCAAACGTGCAAGGTGCGGAAGAGGCCAGAGACGAGCTACAACATTGATTACGTGATCGGACCGCTTGCAGGAGATGTCATGCAGGACTGCTTGCATGTGCACAACGGTGATGATGCAAACCCGGCAAGTCACATTGCAACACACTCTATATCTCTCGCAGGTTCATCGCATGCGATAGATCGAAGGAGTTCCTTGATGTGATGTTGCAAGCCTGCCTCTTGCATCAACTGCTCCATCACGTCCAGCTGGCTGTCCTGCCGCTGCCACCACCTCCACCGCACTGCTTCACCATCACTCGCGTCCTCTTCCACAGTCTCATCACTGCTCTGTGTCTGTGTGAGTGCCACAACACTGTCAAGAAGAAGTGATGATGGGTGGTTGGTGGTGATGTGCTGGAACTGCTCACGCGACTTTCTGCGCCCCAACAGAAACATCAGCCACAGAAGAGACACCCCCACCACGGCCGTCAAAGCCGCCCCAACTGCTGTCCGCACATCCACTTCATCCATCGCTGTTTGTTGTGTTGTGGTTTGTTTCTGCTGCAGGTGCCCTGAACGAAAAGTAACTATTACACCCACCAATCGTCTTGTTTGTGCGTGAGGCACAACAATAAAAAATATTGTCTTGCGTGCTAAAGGGAGGGAAAGTGCTTCCAAATCGGGTGGCAGGTGTTGCCAGAAACGCAAGGATTTTCCTTCTCTGTCAACAACAAGGCAAGCAAAGAAGGAAGCAAACAGCGTGGTGCGTTTTGTCAATGCGAGCGCCACTTTTCGCCAACAAGCAGCAAAGGACAGAAAGCAAAAAGGAAAGAAAACAAGCAAGCACACTGTGGTGGTCTGGGGATGCGATCACAAGGAAGGCCTTCCTCGCGAACACGCAAGCTGGCAAGCAAGCAAGCAAGCAGCTCGTCGTGGTGGTGGCACAACAAAGAGGGACAGCTGCCTCTGCTGCGCGTGTGCTATTGATCTGTTGCACAAGCGGTGGCAGCCACTCCACGATGCAGTGGGCAATGCGACCGTGCTCTTTGTGTCGCGCACATGGCGGTGCAAGAAGATGACACAAGTGTTGAACGTGTTCAGCGTGCTGCTGTTGCTTTGAGAGTTTGCACATGAAGAAGGAGCAGGCAGCGCAAGGTAACAGCAATGTGTGTGTAGAAAGACTGTGTGTATGCAATACACTCCACTCACTCCACTGACTGCTCCCACCAACCACAACCTTCCAATCCGACCTGACCACCTTTCACACCACCCTGCTGCTACCATATCAGGAAGCATCTGCCACAAGAACTACCCCCCTCCCCGACTCTCATGCAAGCGCCTGCTCAACGCTCGACCTCCAAAGTGCTCACAATGTAAGCCGGCTGCAGTCACGTCCCCGTTCATCACTTTTATTCCTCCTCGATCACACGCATGCACACACTCATGCACACGCACACAACCGCACACATGTGACATTGCCGCCACCACTACCTGCAGTCATACAGCGTGGGCGACCGCAGGAGAGCAGACTGGGGATGAACGTGGCTGAAGTGGACAAGGAGGACAAGGAGCTCGTGCATGGGCCGGAGGACATGGCAGAGAGGGTGTGCATCCATCCACACCACACGCGATAGCGCCACCACAATGAACAACGCGGCACCACTGCTGCAACCAGTATATGGGAGCGGCATCAGGCCCATTCCCACCAGCATTGCCTGTACCTGTACAAGGACCAGCAACATGGCCATCGTCTCTGATGTATGCCATGATGCCGACATTGTCAACGACACCAATCATCACAAGCACATTGCCACCGCTGCAGCGGAATTGCAGTGCAGCCGCCAACATATCGACCTCATCTGCAGCAACGGCAACGACAGCAACAACAGCTGTGATGGCAGCAGAAGCAGCGGCAGCAGTAGGGCTTGTCCACCTTCCTTTCCGAACACGGTGCCGCCGTTACCTCATGTCTGCGACGGCTACAGCGACAGCGCCACGGCCGTTCAGGGGCACCCTTCTGTCGCGGACTCCCTTGATGGCATCCCCATCATCCTCATGGTCGTCTTCTTCACCCCATCACAGTCATCAACAACAGCGGCAGAAGCAGCAACACGAGCAGCACCACCGGCGAGCACTGCTACACCACCAGTATCGCTCTCGGCATATGCAGCGCTTGCAGACAGGCAGCTGGGGACGGACGAGATTCACATGCTCGGCTGTCGGTAAGCAATGCACATACCAGTATTGTGGTGTTTGGGGTGTGTTCAGCGCATGCTCGATGGCACAGTGATGTGTTCACTCACCCCTTTGTGTGTGTGTGTGTGTATGTATGTATGTATGTATGTATGTATGTATGTATGTATGTATGTATGTATGTATGTATGTATGTATGTATGTATGTATGTATGTATGTATGTATGCATGTATGTATGTATGTATGTGTGCGTGCGTATGCGTGCACGTCGTAGGCTGTGGCATCGAGGATTGGGCGGGCTTTTGAATCCAAGCGCGCTTCAGGGCAGCGACGACGATGCTCGCAACCACAGCCGGTTCAAAGTAGCAGACAGAAGGCTTTTCACTGCCCAGGTGCGTGTCTGTGTCTGTGTCTATGTGTCTGTGTTTCTGGCTCTCTGCGTGTGTGCGTGTGTGTCTGTGCCCCGCGCATGTGTACGCATGCAGCTCGTCTCCTTCACTTCCCTCATTCCCTCACGTCATGTCCTCTCCCGCGACGCACGCGCCTGCACTTGCTCGCAGATACTTCACGTTCCATCCTGCGCCATACAACGGCACGGTGAACGTGGCAGACTCATCAACGCAGTCTTCCACCGAGGACAGACAGCGGTATCTGGGGCACCAGCTGCGCAAGCTGTGCAACATCGAGGCAGAGCACGCCGTGCACCTTAGGGGGTGTGTCACATCAGCAAGACAGCGTCTCTTGTGGCCTGTTCGCGCTGGCTTACGCCACACTGCTGGCTGCTGGCCTGCATCCTCTCGACTGGAACCGCGTCAGCATGACGACACACCAGCTGCGCACGTGGGTGGTACTTGCAGTGCGTGGCTGATCGGGAGGCAGATGTTGTGGAGGTGCTGCTCATGAAGTTGTTACAAGCGGCACGCGTCAATGACAATGACGACGACGACGACGACAACAATGACGACGACGACAACGGCCTTGAGTCGTCACTCCACCAGCGACGCTGCCTTTTTGTCTTGCAGCCGACAAGAGAAGAGGATCGAATGGCCTTCTCTGCCACAAGCGGCGAGGTGGTTGTGGTGCATGACAGGAGCGATGGTGTGGAGGAGGAAGAGGAGGTGGTGGTGATTGGAGGTGCTGCGTTCGAAGAGGGTTTCAATGGCGGTGATGTGATCGACGTGGACGGAGACAGTTGTGATGACACGGGCGAGCCGCAGCAGCCACACTGGCCACAACAACATCATCAACAACAACAACAACAACAACAACAACAACTTCTGCAACAACAACAACAACAACTTCTGCAACAACAACAACAACAACAACAACAACTACATCAAGCCACACTTGCAACAGCAGTTGCAGTTGCTGCCACAAGTGCACCATACCGTCGGTCAGCATGAGCTGCTGAACGATCAGTTCCCGCATTACTACCCA